GAAGCAGAGACACAGGCAGAGGGAGGAGCAGGCTCCCTGTGGGGAGCCCAATGTGGGACTCGATCCCAGGACTCTGGGATCATGACCTGAGCCGAAGGCAGATCCTCAATCCCTGAGCCTCCCCAGTGTCCCTGGGAGGAATTTTTCTAAGAGGAGGAGATGGTGATGGCATGAAGGAGGATAGGCTTGCAGAAACACAATGTTTGGTGAAGCTAAGTGATCAGAAACCTCAGCCGTCATCCTGCAGCTAGACAGTGAACAGTGAGTGAGCCCGTCAGGTTGCAGCAACTGCATTTGCTTGCACATCTTGTTTGGTTTTCCCTTGACTTACAGCTCTGACCCTCCATTAGGGTAGAAGCTCCTGTTACATACTCACCTTCGTAACTCCTTGTCTCCCACACAGAACTCTGCACCAAGGTGGCAGGGAGAATGTTTGCTGAGTGTTGTAAGCAACTGACTTTCTCCCCAGGCATACATGGTGGCAGCATCCCAATATTCTTCTAGAGCATGCACCCTTCTCTGCTGTCACCCATGTGTTCCACGTAAGGGCCAACTCCCTCCTAGGCTCCAGAGCTGGACACATAGCTCAGACTCAACCAAGCAAAGCATCACTTTATCCTGACCACGCTTGCTTATTCAGAGACGGGCAAGTGACCATTCTAAACCCTAGGAGACAAAGGAAACAGAAGTGGACATAAAGGCAAATGCTCTTCTGCTAAGGATGCAAGAAGTAAGGATGCCGCAGGAATGAAGCTGCTGAAGGCGTGGAATTGGCCAACACAGTCGAAGACGGAGACAAGATGGGAGAGGTCAGATCCTGGTGACATGCTTTAAGCCCCTGAATCCAGCTGAGTCAGAAGCCAGTTGTGTCACCGGATTCATGGATCATCTGAGCAGATAATTCCCATTTCTTGTCTTAGGCAATTAGAGTTGAGTTACCTGTCACTTGCAACCAAAAGAGTCCTGACAGACGAATGAATGAATGAATGAATGAATGATGGAAAACATTGGCAGAGAGGAAAGCATTCTATGCTAGGAGCCAAGACAGTGTCTTGCCATTTACTGTGTGACACTGGGCGAGTTGTTTGATGTCTCTGAACTTCAGTTTAGAACTCTGATATCATTCATTTATTCAACATTTATGGGCATTAATCATGCCAGACACATGCTGGGTGTTGGCTCATCTATGGTAGCAAAACCCTCGTCGTTCCTGTTCTCATGAAAGCAGAAATGAAGTTCACTCCCAGAAAAACGAAGTGGCATTTCTGCATACCTGATTTTGTCGCTGGGAAATCTGTTTGTGGTACAAGTCTCCAGCACTTGGTAACTGGTAGCGATCATTATTTCTTCCACTATCAGCTACTATTGGGGTTAACTGGAGGAGGGGCGGGAAACAGCCTCGGATGATCAGGGAGGAGGGTACCCAGACTTCCCTTCCCTTCCAAAGCTCACAGCCAATCAGAACTAACGTTCATGAGCCTAATTATACACAGCCCTGAGCTAGAGGGGGTAACAAGACCCTCGCTTGGGCCTGGGTCCTATCCTTTGGGACTTCAGCTTTAAGAATAGTCAACATGCAACCAAGTACATTTTTTCTGGCCTCTGGCAAAAAGACTTTTCTGAGTCAAATATGCTCATCAGTGTTCCCAAAAATCAGGCTTAGCAATGGAGCTAGTTAAGCTCAATCGCTTTCAATTCTTGTTATAAAGAATTAATAATGCCAACTGAAGTTGGATCTTTATTTTTAAAGGGAATTCACAACTTGGGTTGAAGTGGTAGAAGTCTGGGTGCAAGTGCAAGCTTAGCAGGCCCCAAATAACCAGAGTTCTACTCTACCTGCTATGATTCAATTTCCTCATTCATTTAACAAATAGCTATTGGGGGACCCGGGTGCCCCAGTCAGTTGAGCATCTGCTCAAGTAGAACTCTGGTTATCCCAGGGTCCCAGGATCCAACCCCGCGTCAGGCTCCCTGCCCAGCGAGGAGTCTGCTTCTCCCTCTCCTTCTGCCCCTGCTTATGCTCTCTCACCCCCTCTCTCTGTCAGATAAATAAATAAAATCTTTAAAATAGTAACAACAACAAATAGTTATCAGGTGCCCACTCTGCACCAGGCACCATCATAGAGCAGCACCTGGCTCACACAGAGGGAACAGATCCAGAGGCAAATATTCAAACACGAGCCATTCCGTGTATTCCCGTGTGCACACCTGGCTGAGCCCAGCCAAGTGTTAATAGATCAGCCTCCACTGATAAGTCATTTCATGTGCCCTAGTTTAAATATAGCACAGGTTCTTGCCTGTTCCAGTTATTATTGCTGAATTTAAAAAATGACCTCAGTATTCAGTGGTTTGGTACTTAATGCCACTGAACTGTACATTTTAAAATGGTTTAAATGGGGGGGGGGCTCCTGGGTAGCTTAGTCAATTAAACATCTGCCTTCAGCTCACATTATGACCCCAGGGTTCTGGGATAAATGCCCACATTGGGCTCCCTGCTCAGTGGGAAACCTGCTTCTCCCTCTGCTTCTGCCCCTCCCCCACCCCTCATTGTGCACTCTCTCTCTCTCAAATAAAATCTTTAAAAATATAAATGGTCAAAATGGTAAACTTTATATGTATTTTGCCATAATAAAAAAATGTGAGAATATAAAAAAAAACCTTAATGGTTTGAAATACCCATTTAACTAAGCTCACAAATTCCGGGGGTCAGGACTTTGGGCAGGGCACGGTGGGGACAGTTCAGTCCTGCTCCATGGTACTGGGCCTCAGCTAGGGAGACCTGAAGGCCGAGGGTGACTCAGTGTGGGCGTCATCTAAAGGCTCTTACAGCTACATGCCTGGGCTGACTCAAAACCTAGGACTGGCTATTGGAGCCCCCAATGTGACCTCTCCATGTGTGGATTCCTCCCAATGCAGTGGCCTCAGAATAGTCAAACTTTTCGTTTTTATTCTTTTTTTTTAAGTAGGCTCCACATCCAGTGTGGAGCTCAACGCAAGGCTTTAACTCACAACCTTGAGATCAAGACCTGAACCGAGATGAAGAACCAGATGCTTAACCAACTAAGCCACCCAGGCACCCCTCAAACTTTTTATATGATAGCTCAGAGCACCTAGCATAAGTATTTTGGGAAAAAAAGGGGAAAAGACAAAACCTGCATCCTATTTGTGGCCTAACCTTGGAAGTGTCACTTCTGTTGTACTCTATGAGTCAAAGTCATCGTAAACGCTGCCAGAATCAAGGTGAGGGGTGGGCAGAATTAAAGTCCGTGCTTTGATGATAAAGTGTCAAAATCTCACATGGAAGAAAAACTTGTGTGAAGGAAGATAATTGTTGCATCCACTTCTGGAAAAATACAATCTGCCATATTACCTTTCTAAATGAGCCAAAAGCAAAGAAACCCCAGAAGAATCAGTTTACAGAAATAGCACTGGAAGCGGTCTTCATGAACTCGTCATCTGCCTGCCCTCAGAGTGAGATTCACTCCTGAGAGGATCCCTCCTCAGGCTGGTAGAGCCCAAGGGGATTCGGCCAAGTGGGGAGAGAGGATGGTGCCTGGTTGGAGTTCTGCAGTTCCCACCCACGGGCGATCTCAGGGTAGTAAGGCTTTTCAGCACTGTGACCGCTAACTTTACCTTAAAAAATGGAGGTAATTCTTGATGTCTCATCAGTGTTGTTTTGAGAACCACGTAAAATATTTTATGTGAAGACAGATCTGTTGCAAAAATGTCCATGAGTTGACCCCACGTGTGGACAGCCCACTTTGGCGATGCAACAGGGGCGGACCACATACTTCCCATTGCAGCCACTCTCCTGGTTTTGCTTTCCTGTCTGAGGTAGGAGAGCCCCCATGGAAGCTCAGAGGGGGCAGATGAGCTAGACAGAGCCACACAGCGCCACACAGCGCCACACAGCCAAGAAGGAAGTCAAACCCAGATGCGAAGACTTGCCATTCTGCAGTCCCCTCTAGACACGGACACTTCCTGGAATAGGTGACTCTGACCTTAGCCGAGGAGCGCGGCACAGGTAACAAGGAGTCTCTAGGGTCACACCGCCAGGGGTCGCGTCCTAGCGACACCATCACCGGCTGTGGGACCCCTGTGTGTAAAAGGGGAGTAAGACCCCCAGGGTACCGGGCGGCTCAGCGGTTGGGCGTCTGCCCTCGGCCCAGGGCGTGACCCCGGGGTCCCGGGACCGAGTCCCGCATCGGGCTCCCCGCAGGGACCCTGCTCCTCCCTCCGCCTGTGTCGCTGCCTGTGTGTCTCATGAATAAATAAAAATTTTTAAAAGCTGAAAAAAAGACTTCCCGCACAGGCTTAAGAAGTAACCAAGCTAACATAAGGCGTTTAGATCGTAGCTGGCGCATCCTAAGCCCTTTGCAGCTGCTACAGCCCCTCGTGCGCACTTAGGTCTATAATCCGTGCTACAGGTTTCAAGGTGAGGAAGTCACACCCAAGAATGTAGTGAAAGTAACGGCGGAGGTGTCGCCCTGAGAGGACAAGTCCACTCGGGAGAAAGCTTTAAAAGGAGAAAACCACAAACCACCATTTGTCAGTGAAAAGCCTATGGAACTGCAGGCAAAGGGACGCCTGCGTGGCTCAGTGGTTGAGTGTCTGCCTTTGGCTCAGGGCGTGCTCCCAGAGTCTGGGGATCGAGTCCCACGTCGGGCTCCCTGCATGGAGCCTGCTTCTGCCTCTGCCTGTGTCTCTGCCTCTCTCTGTGTGTCTTTCATGAATAGATAAATAAAATCTTAAAAAAAAAAAAAAAAAAGGAACTGCAGGCAAAGTGAAGGTCTCTGACCCCGACGGCTCCAGTTTTGTCTGCTGCCTCCGCGCAGCCCGCAGAGACCGTCACTGGGGTGACGTCGTCAGGAGCCCACCCGCGTCACCCCGCTCCTGGACTCCGCGCCCAGCCGCTGCCGCAGCCGCAGCCGCTTCCGCTTCCGCTTCCGCTTCCAGCCCTTTCCCCGGCGCCGCGGAATGACGTCAGAAGCGGGCGCGGACGCGCAGAAACACCCGCCTGCGCGTGTGCTGTGTGCGGGCCGCGGCGCAGGGCTGTCGGCGACGGCGCCGGCCGCCGGGCGGCGGGGGTCCCAGTGCTGCTGGGGCCGAGTCTGTAGCTCGAGGCGTCCCTGAGCTGAGGACCATGAACCGCAGTCGCCAGGTGACGTGCGTGGCCTGGGTCCGCTGCGGCGTGGCCAAAGAGACGCCGGACAAGGTGAGGCCTGGTCGCCGGGAGGGAAGGGGAGCGGCCTCTTCGCGGCATCCTCGTCCAGGCCCGCCTGGAGAACCTGGGCCCGCTCCACGCGGCCGGGCCTGGCGGGCGTGACGGCCCGGGTGTGGTGAGGGGGGCCGCGCGCCCTCTCGGTCCCTACCCCCGCCCAGCCCCACCCCCACCCCCCGAATTCGCGCGCACGTGGCCTAGGCGGCGGGAGGGGGCGGGGAGCTGCCCAGAGTGGGAAATCCGCAGCGCCTTCTTGACAGCCCCGAAGCTTCACACGCAGCCCAGGGCGTGTCCAGGCCCAGCGCGAAGAGGGAGCTCGTGTGTGAAACCACCGTCCACTCATGGGCTCGGAGTCCGGAGGAGCAGGATGGGAGCTGCGGTGTAGAAAACTGCTGTGGAGACCATGAGGTCGTGAGGCTGGGAGTTGAATAGTAATGTCTCGCGGGGATCCGAGTGAGATGTTGATGTGGCATTGGGGGATGAGAGGTAAACATGGCACATCGTGAAGGAAAAACCTGCAGAAAGAAGTTCGACAACGAGTCCAGAGGAGAGATGAAGATTACTTAAGTTGTTCACCTGATCCTTACTCAGGGCTTTCTATGTTTGCAGCATTGTTCAGGGTCTAGGGCTAGGCATAAAAACAAAACTTCCCTGCCTGTATGGAGTCGACATGTACGTAGATGTCAGTGGGAGTAAATGCTATGAATGAAAGGGGGGCCTTGAAACGTGATAGGAATGTAAGTATTGGGAGGTGAAGTTAACAGGAATGAGGGATTGGCAGAGCCCTTGAAGGTTTAACTTCCACCAGGGCACGCAGACTGTGCTTGTTTTTTGGGTTTTGGTGGGGCATTTTTTTAAAGTTTTTATGTATTCACGAGAGAGACAGAGAGAGGAGCAGAGATGCAGGGAGAGGGAGAAGCAGGCTCCCTGGGGGGATCCCCATGCAGGACTCGATCCCAGGACCCCGGGATCACGCCCTGAGCCAAAGGCAAATGCTCAGCCACTGAGTCACCCAGGTGCCCCTGGGCTTATTTTATTCACCATTTTCTCCGGAGTTCGGCTCCAGTAGATACTCAATGCATAATATATATAGAGAGAGAATAGTGCCAGGAAATTATCTCATTAGAAATTAATTATTGATTAAAAAGAGAGAAGGGGAGCCCTGGTGGCACAGCGGTTTAGCGCCGCCTGCAGCCCGGGGCATGATCCTGGAGACCTGGGATGGAGTCCCACGTCGAGCTCCCTGCATGTAGCCTGCTTCTCCCTCTGCCTGTGTCTCTACCTGCCTCTCTCTCTCTCTCTCTCTCTGTCTGTCTCTATGAATGGATAAATAAAATCTTTAAAAAAAGAGAGAGAGACTTGTTAGCTTTTAAAGACTATATAAGTTCCCAACATGTCTACACACTGGAACCCCTTAGGGAGCTTTGAAAAATACTGATGCCTGAGGCACCTGGCTGGCTCTGTTGGTGGAGCCTGGTTGATCTCCAGGGGATGAGTTCCAGTGCCACACAGTACCTGTGCCCTATCCAGGGGATGAGTTCCAGTGCCACACAGTACCTGTGCCCTACAATTTGGCAACCACTGCTTAAAGAGCCTGAGTTTATTCTACAAAGTCAAAATAGGAACAAGATACTGAGTTTATTCTACAAAATCCCAGCAAAACTGGGATCAATGAGAGTAATTAGGAAAGTATCTTTAAAAATAAAAAGAAATATCTTTTAATTAAGCTTGAAAGCCCTTAATTGTTGGAACAATGAATGTCATCCCTCAAGAGAATTTCTGTATCGGTAGAGGTGGTTTAGTGCAAACTGAGTGACTGATTCATCACCTATCATCATCAAGCATCCCTACCATGGGCTGAACACTGAACTATGTGTGTAAACACAATGACAGGTTGATTTCTGTCTTCAAGGATCTTAGAGGTTAGCAGTGATTGTTTTAAAAGGTATTGAAGCATTGATTAGGCAAAGGAATGTCAGTTTTGAAGTAAAGAGAATGATTCCAATGATCCTTTTGAACAGGATCTTCAAGTAGATTCATAAAGGTAGCTGGAAAGATGGAACTGGATGGCTCAGTTGGTTAAGCATCGGACTCTTGAGTTTGGCTCACATCGTGATTGCAGGGTCGTGAGATTGAGTCCTGCATCAGGCTCCCAGCCTAGCACAGAGTGTGCTTGAGAGTCTCTCTCCCTTTCCCTCTGCCCTTACCCCCTGCTTACTCTCTTTCAAATAAACCTTCAAAAAAAGAGAGAGAGAGAGAGAAAGAAGGAAAATTAGGTGGAACAGGAGTATGAGACTAGAGAAGGGTGAGTTTGGGATAATCAGTTCAGAGATGATAGTTTTAGTCTTCAGAATGAATGTGCTTTGTAAGGAAGTGACAGTGTAATGAGTGAATAATTGGCAGTGAGAACTGGGAAGAAGCAGGGAACCAAGGAAGGATGGTTTGTTAAGGGTACCCATAAGGAAAATGAGAAGTAGCCAAGAAGAAATCAGAATAATTGAATGAAAATGAGATGGACTTTCCTAGAAGCCAGTTTAAAAAGTTAGTCTTTTTCAAAAAGTCTGGGAAATAGACTGAGAATGCTTTTTTTTTTTAAGAGTTTTTTTTTTTTTTTTTTAAGATTTCACTTATTTATTCATGAGAGACACACACAGAGAGAGAGATGCATAGACACAGGCAGAGGGAGAAGTAGGCTCCATGCAGGGAGCCTGACATGGGACTCGATCCCGGGTCTCCAGGATCACACTCTGGGCTGCAGGCAGCACTAAACGGCTGCGCCACCGGGGCTGCCCTTTAAGGGGATTTTTTTAAAAGGGATGGTAAAAACTCCATTTACAGTAAATTTAGAGAGTCTAGATTGAAGTCTGATTTTTTTCTGTCTTTTGAAGTTATATTTTATATTAGTTTGCAAACATTTTGAGATTTATAATGATTTCCTTAACTGTATTGTAATGAAATGTTTGCTCTCTTATAGGTAGAGCTTAGTAAAGAAGAAGTAAAACGTCTCATTGCTGAAGCAAAGGAAAAATTACAGTAAGTTTAAGATTGCTGATGTCTAAAGTCAAGTCCAGATGAAACATAAATTTTAAACAGTAATGACAGGGTGGTCCTATTATTGATCAGTACCATTTGGGTGATTTCTTTATCTTGTTTCTTGGCATAGAGAAGAAGGTGGCAGTGATGAAGAGGAGACAGGTGATCCTTCAGAAGATGGCATGCAGAGTGCACGTACCCAGGCACGACCAAGGGAGCCCCTGGAAGATGGTGACCCAGAGGACGACAGGACGCTGGATGACGATGAGTTGGCTGAGTACGACTTAGATAAATATGATGAGGAAGGCGACCCAGGTTAGAATTCACTCACTTCTGTTTTTTTTTTTTTTTTTTTTTTTAAGATTTATTTACTTATTTATGATAGAGAGAGAGAGAGGCAGAGACAGAGGCAGAGGGACAACCAGGCTACATGCCGGGAGCCCGACGCGGGACTTGATCCCGGGACTCCAGGATCGCACCCCAAGCCAAAGGCAGGCGCCAAACCGTTGAGCCACCCAGGGATCCCCCACTTCTGGTTTCTTTCTTTCTCTTTCTTTCTTTCTTTCTTTCTTTCTTTCTTTCTTTCTTTCTTTCTTTCTTTTTTAAGAATTATTTATTTATTTATGATAGACATAGAGTGAGAGAGAGAGAGAGAGAGAGAGGCAGAGTATGTCACAGGCAGAGGGAGAAGCAAGCTCCATGCCGGGAGCCCGATGTGGGACTCGATCCCGGGACTCCAGGATCGCGCCCTGGGCCAAAGGCAGGCGCTAAACCGCTGAGCCATCCAGGGATCCCCCCCACTTCTGGTTTCTAATCACAAACTCAGTGTATTTATATTAGATCATGCCTCTAGTGTTCCAGAGCTTTACTCTGAGCTTTTGTTGTCCTTTATGCCAGTTAAGTAATCCGGCTCAAGACTAGGGCAGATAGCATGTTTCCTAAACTGGTTTAGAAAATCAGCTAACCCACTAAACTAAGATTTGAAAAAGCAGTATATTTTATTGCATGTAGTGGGTATGACCTGTAACTCAGGTTGAGGGATGAACAAAATGGGTGAAGTGGGGGCGAGTGGGAGATACAGGCTTCCAATTATGGAATGAGTAAGTCATGGGGATGAAAGGTACAGCAGAGGGAATATAGTCAAAAAATATATATACAGCATTGTATGGTGACAGATGGTTGCTACACTTATGAGCATGGAATGATGTATAAGAGATGGTAAATTGTTATGTTGTACTCATGAATCTAATATGTTTCAACTATACCCTAATGAAAAAAAAATGTTTTTTAATCTGTAGGTCCTGTCTCTTTGCAATAATGAGAGAGGAGTTATTACCCCCATTTTATAGAGAAAAGAGAGGCTTACAAAGATGAAATGACTGCCACACAGCTGGTGAACAGGGGAGCTGAGGATTGAACATTCTCTTGCTCTAAAGTTTTTACTGTTGCAGTACATTTCATTAGATGCAGAGAATAGTTTTTTCCATTGGACTCTGGGTTGTGTACCCCTAAACTTAGGACTAGGTTGAGTCCTAGTCCTGCTATGACAGTGTGTCATGGGAACACAAAGAAAGGAAAAGTTAACCCTGCCTGGAGAAATGGCATTCAGAAACTGCTGCTTGGGGCACCTGGGTGGCTCAGTCAGTTAAGCATCTGACTTCAGCTCAGTTCATGACCTCAGGGTCCTGGGATTGACACCCACGTCAGACTCCCCGTTCAGTGGGAAGTCTGCTTGTCCCTTTCCCTCTCCTCCTGCTCGTGCTCTCTTGCTCATATTCTCTCACTCACAAATCTTTAGGGGATCCCTGGGCGCAGTGGTTTGGTGCCTGCCTTTGGCCCAGGGCGCGATCCTGGAGACCCGGGATCGAATCCCACGTCGGGCTCCCAGTGCATGGAGCCTGCTTCTCCCTCTTGTGTCTCTGCCTCTCTCTCTCTCACTGTGTGCCTATCATAAATAAATAAAAATAAAAAAAAAACAACAAATCTTTAAAAAGAAAACTGCTCGTTAATATCCTACACTGTGTGGATTATTGGCTCACTCTTACCCAGTTGAAATTCCCATCTCTGACCAATTAGTCCTGCCTCCTTAAAGTAGCTTCCCTAACAATTAGAATATATTTCTTTCCCTGAGTTTGTTATTTGGGGTCTCCTCTAGGTCACCCTTGCAGATATGCTGTAAGAGAATTCCAATTTGAGAAAAGTTTAGTGAAAAAGGCATAGTAGTACCTTTTTCAGAGTCATACAGCAAATTAACATATCAGCAGTTCTGAGAAATCTTGTAATAAAGAAACCCATTTAACTTTGTGAAACCCATCATTTTTTATTTGACCAGACAACCCTTATTCTGTGTCAATTCCAGTGTTTCAGGGTAATTTTACCTCTTTTTAATAATGACTTCAATAATAACTATACTGGGGGCGGGGGGGGGGGCATGGAGGGAGAGGGAGAAAGAGAGAATCTTTGCAGGCTCCAAGCCCAGCACAGAGCCCAAAACGGGGCTTGATCTCACAACTCTGAGATCATGACCTGAGCCAAAATCAAGAGTTAGGTGTTTAGCCAACTGAGCCACTCAGGCGCCCCATGATAATGACTACAAGGAGCAAGTTAGAGAATCTGAGCAGAGAGCTAATATTTTTCTAAGAGCTTTACAGTTTAATTCCTTTATTAGAACATTGTGAATACCAAAACTATCAAGTATGCATTCTGAGGTCGAATGTAAATGGCTTCTATTTAATTTTTTGTAAGATTTACTTATTTATTTGAGAGAGAGAGGAGTGTGGAGCTTGATCTCAGACCCTAAGATCATGGCCTACACTGAAACCAAGAGTAAAGACATGTAACTGACTGTGCCACCCAGGTGCCCCTATAAATGGCTTTTAAATTCCTGTTGTTTATTCAGTATTTTCTGACTACGGATGATCCAGTTAGTTATGAAATAGACAGTTGGAGCTAAGTCTAAAGATGGGATACCTTAGGAAAATGCTTTTGTTGAAATAACTTGTCATTTCAATTTATGAATTCTTACAGATACTGAAACTCTTGGTGAATCTCTCTTGGGTCTTACAGTCTATGGAAGTAATGATCAAGATCCTTATGTTACTCTAAAAGATACGGTAAATGTTTGTGTGGCTTTTCTAATTATGCTTCTTAAGTGTTTGGAAAACCTTACCAAGTATCTGCTTCTGGTTAATGACTTCTCTCCACTTAGGAACAATATGAACGTGAAGATTTCTTGATCAAGCCCAGCGACAATCTCATAGTGTGTGGCAGAGCTGAACAAGACCAGTGCAATTTAGAGGTGCACGGTAAGTGGGGACTAGCCCTTATGGAAAGGTTCTCTAAGATGAAAATAATCACTAATAGTTACTGTTGTGAATTTTCAGGTACCAGATCCTGCTGGATCTCATTAAGTTAAGTGGTTAATTACATACAGTCTATAGGTATCCTGGTTGTTGCTTTGGTACCTGACTTTATTTATGGATATAGGTCTCCTGAAAGGTGCTAATGGAGGTTTTTAGTCTTTTGTTTGAAGATTTTTGCCAGTTTTTCACTCCCCCTCTCCCCCCATTGGAGAAAAACCTAGAAGTAAAGCCATATAAAAATACAGGAAACAATTATAGTCCTTTTACTCCAACGTATCTTGTTGCACGTGCTTTTTACTCCAGTGTCTTTTCTGGGTACTTTTTCTTTATGTGGCAAAGATTATACACAATAGACAGGTTTTTATTCTGCTTTTTTCCACAGAGTCATTTCAGGTATTTCCCATTTGTTTCTTCACAAAAATTCAATGCAGAGGCTTCCATTCCTCTGGTTGTCTTTCCCAGTTCAAGGAATATTCGCACCACCACCAGAGGTGAATGCTTTGACTCTAAAGTAGACACTGGAGTATTTCTTTTTCATTTGGATTTTTAAATCAGATATGTTTAATGTTGCTGTTTACCGAGTCAACAAACATTAATTGAATAAACTTTTCTAAAAAAAATCTAGACCTTCAAGATGTCTACAGTATTCTGCCTCTAGATTTCCCCTTTTGTTTTTCTTGCCCCTTCTCCTGCGTGCATCCTCAGACATGTCTGTCCTTCTGCAACAATCTACTAGTCATTTGTCTTTAAAATTTGAAGCTTTACAGATATTAGGCTAAGGCCCTTTATTATAGGAAATACAGTTGCATAGCTCAAAAATTAAAATTATGGTTAATGTTCCTTGACATTTTTTAAGTTACTTTGTCACTTACTCCATTTTGTAGCTTGGATTTCTGGAACTCTACATTTTTTAAGGCTTCCTTCAGGAAGCCTGTAGATTAGGCCATTTTAATCCAGGGCCATTGTGGATCTATTTATAAAATGAAAAGGCTTTAAATAGCAGATACTTCAGTGTGAAGTTAGTCTTCTAATGATCTTTGAGCCTTTTTACACATTTCAAATGAAAACCATGGGAAATTTTTTAGAAACCAGTTCTAATTTCAGAAAATTGACAACTCTGTTCCAGTTTACCATTGATTTTTACACACATGTTCCTGCGAGAGCTTACTGCAGCCATTCCTTTGAATTTACTGAGTATTAGGGGTTTAAGAAGTTAAAAGAAGATTCTTCTAAAGCATCATCATCATTTTTTATCTAAAATGTAAGATGAGTACATTAACCATAGTTGAGGTTCTTGCAGGACCCTAGGCTTAATCATTTTGAACATGCATATGTAAAGTGATATGATAGAACATGACATGGAATTTGCTGATCTAGGATCTAACCCAGATGTAGAGGTCTGAGGAAACTTTTTTTAAAGTTTTTATATTTAAATACCAGTTAGTTAATATACAATGTAATACTAGTTTCGGGTGTACAATATAGTGATCCAACTCCTCCGTACATTATCTGGTGCTTATCACAGCAAGTGTACTCCTTAATTCCCATCCCCTATTTTACCCATCCCTCCACCCACTTATATTCTGGTAACCATCAGTTCTCTATAGTTAAGAGTCTGTTTTTTGGTTTGCCTCTCTTTTTTTCCTGTTGCTTGTTTCTTAAATTCCACATATGAATGAAACTATGGCATTTGTCTTTCTCTGGCTTATTTCGTTTAGCATATTCTCTAGATCCATCCACATCGTTGCAAACGGCAAGATTTTATTTTTTATGGCTGAGAAATATTCCATTGTGTATATGTATATATTTCACCTCTTTATCCATCAATTGGTGGACATTTGGGCTCTTCCATAATTTGGTTATTGTAGATACTGCTGCTATAAACATTGGGGTGCATGTACCCCTTTGTACTGGTATTTTTGTATTCTTTAGGTAAAGACCTAGTAGTACAATGCTGGATAGTAGGGTAGTTCTATTTTTAACTTATCTGAGGAACCTCCATACTGTTCTCCAGAGTGGCTGCATGGGTTTGCATTCCCACCACCGTGCAAGAGTGTTCCTTTTTCTCCACATCCTTGCCACCATCTGTTGTTTCTTGTGTTGATTTTAGACATTCTAAGAGATGTGAGGTGGTATCTCATTGTAGTTTTGTTTTATATTTCCCTGATTGAACAGTGAGGATGAGCATCATTCCATCTGTTGGCCATCTGTATGTCTTCTTTGGAAAAATGTCTATTCATGTCTTCCACCCATTTTTAAATTGGATTATTTGGTTTTTGGTGTTGAGTTTTATATGTTCTTTATATATTTTGAATACTAACCCTTCATCAGATATGTCATTTGCAAATTCTTTCTCCCATTCTGTAGGTTTTTGTTGATTGTTTCCTTCTCTGTTCAGATGTTTTTTATTTTGATATAGTCCCAGTAGTTTATTTTTACTTTTATTTCCCTTGCCTCAGAAGACATATCTAGAAAGTGGCCTGAGGAATCTCTTTAAATATCTGTAGCCTCTCTTAAGATTGCTTCCTTCTAATAAAAAGCATATTTGGGGGGAAGTTTCTGATTATTTAGGCTCTGTTTTATCAGTATTCCATTATATGATTTTTTAAAGATTTCTTAGTCATTGATTTTAACAGTATTTTTGCTCCTTAATATTATAACTCTGAAGGATAAAGAGCCAATTCTTTTTTTTTTTTTTAAGATTTTATTTATTCATGAGAGACACAGAGAGAGAGAGAGAGAGAGAGAGAGAGAGGCACAGACGCAGGCAGAGGGAGAAGCCAGCAACATGCAGGGAGCCTGACGTGGGACTCGATCCCGGGTCTCCAGCATCATGCCCTGGGCTGAAAGCGGCGCTAAACCACTGAGCCACCCAGGCTGCCCAGAGCCGATTCTTTTAGTTGTCATATTCCAAAAGAATGTTCTCAAGAGCTTTATTTACATTGTTGATCTTTAAATATTAAAGAAGTAATTTCTGACAAGCATTTAGATTTCTAAATATGAGTTATTTCTCTCCAGTGTTGTTTTTTATTTGTTTATTCTTATAGCCAGATAGACCTTTAAAAGATAATAATAAAGTACTTTCTGTAGAGCTTCTGTAAACATTTGTTTTCTGTAGTGGGTGGACCAAGAGATAGCCAGTGCACATGCAGGTAGAGTGTTCAGGCAACCGTTAGTTCTCTTGTCACTGTTCTTGTTCCCTTGGACACACCAGGTGATAGGAATGGATGAGATCTGCAGAATTTTTGCCTAGCAGTAACGACTTTGGAGGCTCCTTTCGATGCCATCAAATGTGTCTCACTTGAAGCACATGGGCTCCAGTAGGCTTAACAGGGAGAGTCTGTCCTTTTCAGTGGAATGTGATATCTTATTCTGACTCAATAAAGTCTCGTTCTTATTTTTTCAGTTTATAATCAGGAAGAAGATTCTTTTTATGTGCATCATGATATACTACTGTCTGCGTATCCTCTGAGTGTGGAATGGCTGAATTTTGATCCTAGCCCAGATGATTCTACAGGTAATTAGAAAAGCTAAGATTACTCAGTGGTTCCTAGTCCTTTCTCTTATTCCTAGCCACATAAGTTATATATTCTATATGAATGTTTTCAGAATTGTTGATTTTTTTTATGAAATTATTTTATAAAGTTACATAGTTCTTAAAACACAATCACTTAATTGTTTTGAGTCTGTATATCTCCAGACTTCAGATAAAGAGGTTAGCTACTCTGCTGTAGACAGGAGGCTGACAGCATTAGGGGTTGCAAAACTATGTGAAGTTATCATAAAACCCAGAATAAACTAGCATGATGTGTCTGGAGAGTTCAGTGGCATAACCTTGCTCAGCATCAGGTAAAACCAAAATGAAGTGGAAAGTAGGTTCTCATGTTAATATTTTTGGCTACAGCTGCACACTACTAGTTGCTCCATCCTACTTGTTAATAAAAGTAAAATCTCATAATACTCCTACCTTAATGCCTCGTTTGCCATGCTTATTCACATTCTTGGTCTGAGTAAATCCACATTTTCAAGACACTGGTGAAGGTAAAGACAGATTTTTTTTTTTAAGTTTTTTTTTTTTTTTTTTAAGATTTTTTATTTATTCATAGAGACACAGAGAGAGAGAGAGGCAGAGACACAGGCAGAGGGAGAAGCAGGCTCCATGCAGGGAGCCTGAAGTGGGACTCGATCCCGGGTCTCCAGGATCACACCCCAGGCTGCAGGCGGCGCTAAACCGCTGCGCTGCGGGGGCTGTGCCCGGTAGAGACAGATTTTGTTCTCAGGACCTAAGTAGGGACCTAGGGCCAAGAGACTGTGCCCTTGTTATTCACATTATGGTTCAAGAGTCAGCTGCACCATATTGGCATCACCTGGGAACGGTTGGAAATGCAGATGTAGGGGCCTACTCAAGACCTCCTGAAACAGTGTGCATTTTAACAATATTCAAGTGATAACACATGCATATGAAAGTTTGAGAGAAAGTACGCTAAGCCATTAATCAATAGTGCAATATTTTTCATTAGAAGTTTTTTAAATCAAATATTCATTTCCTCCTGTAGGAAATTATATTGCTGTGGGAAATATGACCCCCGTTATTGAAGTGTGGGACCTTGATATAGTAGACTCTTTAGAGCCAGTCTTCACACTTGGAAGTAAGCTATCAAAAAAGAAGAAAAAGAAAGGAAAGAAGGTAATCAAGTTAATAATTACTTAAACTCTAATGACAAGTTTACTGATGGGATGGAGAACATAGACTTTTTCATTTAGATACTTTAGTGGAACAGGACAGATAGTTATAAAATTACTGTAGTTTCTAGTTTCAAAAAGTTCTTCCAAGGAAAAATTGATCTCTGATTGCACAGAACTTCCATTCATCAATTATTCATCCTTGACACAAAACAATTTACTCTCAGGTTATGATCTTTTTTGATATATAGTAACTATTCACACTAATATGCTGGTTTGAATTTTTGAAAAATTTCTCTGTAGCCTTTAGTATGTTGAATTCTAAATATGTATTAATTCCTGTAGCTTTTAAAACTTAACTTTGGGGGTGGGGATTGGTATTTATAGAACTGTACCACCTAGATTAAGAACTATTATAGTTTCTTTTCTGTAAAAAGTGTTTATCATGGATCTCTAAAGTAACAGGAAGACAAAGTCTTTCTTTCCTTAGGTCTTCAAGCACGTTTGCTTAAGATCAAACAGTAGCCTTTAAGATTTAAAGAATCTTTCAAATTAACATATCAATTATAGGGAGCACTTTAATACAAAAAGTAATTAAACAATTATTACAGAGTTTCTCAGCAGAGGGGCATACCGATGCTGTCCTGGACCTTTCTTGGAATAAGCTGATCAGGTAAAAAGAAACATTTGGAGGATTGCCAGAGACTGTAACCACTGTCATCTTTCCTCATGCCTACACCTGTCTCTCTGTGTTGTGCTTTGGGGGTCTCTGTGTCCATGTCTTATTTCCCTTTCCCACAGTATATGCCACTTAAGGCAGGAGCTCTGCTCTCTGTATCTGTGCAGCCCCTATATCACCTGCCAACTTGAGGCTTGGTAGGAGCTTGGGCTCGTTACATATTTGGTGACCAAGTGCCCTCCCAACACCACTAGGAAAAAACTGTACTGCAGTGCCAGTGGTGCTGAATTGTACTTCTTTTCATGGAAGATTTTTCTCTCGCTTTATTTAGTTTGCACAAAATCTCATCCACATTTTTTTAATTGACTTAACTGTGGTAAAATATACATAATAGTTACCGTTTTAACTGTGTTTTAGGTATAGAGTTCAGTGGACATTACTGTGCAACCATCATCACCTTCCAATTCCAGAACTTTTGTCATCTTCCAAAACTGAAGCTATGTGCCCAGTAAACAATAACTCTTCATTCTTGCCACCCTCAGGCCCGGCCCTAGTAACCACCACTCTATTTTGTGTCTCTGTGAATCCACTCTTCCAGTTATCTCATATAGGTAGAATCATATAGAGTATCTGCCCTTTTGTCACTGGCTTATTTCAATTAGCACAAGCTCATCCATGCTGCAGCATGCGACAAGATTTCCTTCCTTTTTAAGGCTGAATGACATTCCACTGTTCAGTTAGCCCACATTTTGTTTATCCATCTATCGATGAATGCTTGGGTTGCTTCCACCTCTTGGCTGTTGTGAGCAGTGCTGCCGTTATGCACATGGATGTTCAAATATCGGTTTTTAAGTACAGTTTTCAGTTCTTTTGAGTTTAGCCCCAAAAGTTAAATTGGCTCCCATGGCAGTTCTGTGTTTACCATTTTGAGGAGCACTTTTCAGGTGCCTGTGGCCTGTTTGTGTATATCTTTGGAGAACTGTCTATTTAAATCCTTTGCCCTGTTTTGAATTGAATTCTTTGGTTTTTCATTGAGTTGTAGTTCTTTGTATATTCCAGATATAACTTCTCATCAGATATACAGTTTGCAAATATTTTCCCCCATTTAGTGGATCACCTTTAGCTCTTTTGATAGTGTCCTTTGATGCACAGAAGTTTTTAATTTTGATGTAGTCAGTTTATTTTTACTTTTGTTGCCTGTGCATTTAGTGTTAAATCCAAGAAATGATTGCCAAATCCTTGTCATAAAGTTTTTCCCTTAATAGTTTTACAGTCTTAACTCTTAGGTTTAGGTATTTGATCCATTTTGAGTTAATTTTTATAGGCAGCATAAGAGTTCCACTTCATTGTTTTGCATGTGTCATCCATATATTCTTTATCCTGATCCTTAAACAACAATTAGTCCAAAAGGCCATTTTCCTAACAGCATAACTGTTTTGAGGGGCTGCTGAGGCAAGGGAGGTGAGCATTAACTTAGTTTACTTGAAGAATGAGAACGAACTGGATTGCCCAAAGCACATTTTCTCAGCAGTTCTGTTTTACAGGATACTTTGTAGGGATCCCTGGGTGGCGCAGCGGTTTAGCGCCTGCCTTTGGCCCAGGGCGCGATCCTGGGGACCCGGGATCGAATCCCACATCGGGCTCCTGGTGCATGGAGCCTGCTTCTCCCTCTGCCTGTGTCTCTGCCTCTCTCTCTCTCTCTCTCTGTGTGTGACTATCATAAGTAAATAAAAATTAAAAAAAAAAAAGATTTACAGGATACTTTGTAATTGTGAGCATTCTTAAACGGATCCCAGAGTGCTGGCTTACCTAGGGATATCCTGTCTTTTTGTTTGTGTTCATACGTCTTCGGAGTTAATCATTTGGTGAGGGGCACCTGGCTGGCTCATTTGGTAGAGTATGTGATTCTTGATCTCAGTTCAAGCCCCAGGTTGGATGTAGAGATTACTTACAAAAATAAATCTTTAAAAAAAAAAAAAAAGAACCATTTGATGAAATGGACCTAAGATAATAGATTATGTTGGTATTTCCCAAACTTACCTGAAAGTCAGAATCTTCTGGGTAACCATTTAAAGTACAAGTCCTGGGGCACCTGGCTGGCTGAATCAGTATAGCATGCAACTCTTGATCTCGAGGTTGTGAGTTCAAGTCCCATGTGGGGTGTAGAGATTACTTAAAAAAACAAAATCTTTTTTAAAAAGTAAAGTACAAGGATGCCTGGATGGCTTGGCGGTTGAGCATCAGCCTTCACCTCAGGTCCTGATCCCAGGATCCAGGATCAAGTCCTGCATTGGGCTCCCCAGGGAGCGTGGTTCTCCCTCTGCCTGTGTCTCTGCGCCTCTCTCTGTCTGTCTGTCTTTCTCTTTCATGAGTAAATAAAACTTAAAAAATAAAGTACAAGTTCCTGGGCTCTAATCCCCTCAAGATTGAGTCATATCTGGAGCAAGGGCCCAAGAATCTGTTGTGGTGGTTTATTTTTTAAAGCTTCCCCAGATTTTGTCTGAATTGGGTCTGTTCCTGACTGTTGTAATGGGCAGATAAATAAGAGGCCGACTGTGAGTGTGTCATGCTTTTGGGAATCCACTCATTGACAAATCTGAACTGTCACAGTAATTATATATGTATTAAATTGTTATATAGCAGCTATTGATTTGAATAACTGAAAGTTTGTTCTGAGGGAACAGCCTCTCAGCAGTGCCTTTCCCCAGCCACAATCCCCTGGCTCCGTTTAGACACTGCCAGCACCTATACCCCTGTCCCACCCCAGCTGCACTCACATCTTGACTGCATTGCCACATGTATCTTTGTTCCTTAACTCTTCCACTTTGTCTTATTTTAGACCTTGGTTCTCCTTTCCCCTCTCTTCGTACAGAATGCTTTTAAATATTCTCCATACATACCCTGGTGCATAGAGTTTGGGATCATGTGAAGAGTAACAAGTTGTTGTTGCTAGTTGGGGACCTTGGTTTCTAGTAAAATGCTGCCAGTAACAAAATGCATGTACTCTGTTCATTCATAGTGTCATTGTAGCGCTCTTCTTGGGGTGTAGTGTTCGGGAGTTTAGAGGGGAGAGTGGTAATTTATTTGTAAGCCTCATGAAACAAGAATTTTAATGTGAAAGGAATCTCAGATGTTTGGGCAAAGACTAAGATTAAAAATGTACCGTGAAATTTTAACTTTCTGCTGTTGGCAAGCATTGAATACAAATAAAATATTGGGCATTTACATAACATTGAATCTGTGACATGCCAAGGACTTTAAATATTAATGACTTGTTCATGGGACTGAATGGTAGAAGTTTGAAATTCATTGAGTAGAAAAAAGGTAACATGATCTGAATATACATGATCCTCTTAAGAGACCCTACCTGTGTCACTGAAATGTGAGTTATAAAACTGAAAGCAGTTTGTGTAATGGAAGTATTTCTTGAGGAAATAGTATTTAAAAATGAACCCATCAACATTTTCTTTTAACAGCATATTAGTTTTCTGGACAGATATTACTAAAATGAACCCATCAACATTTTCTTTTAACAGCATATTAGTTTTCTGGACAGATATTACTATCACTAATGACTTCTGTTCCAGGCCTTTCAAACTACATCTTGAAGAATGAGCTTTCAATTTCATGAATATTTGTATTTTTACAAGGAGGAAAGGCAGGCAACTAACATTTATCAAGGGCCTGCTATAGTCTAGTCACTCAGCCACGTACTTTTTAAAGCTGGCTGTAACATTCTCACTGGCAGGCAAGGGAGTGTGACTTACTTTTAAGACCTACAGCTAATAAACGACAGCACCAGGAGTCCATTTCAGGTTTCCTAGGCTTTAAAGCCTGTATTCTCTTATAGAATGACATTATTAGCACTTGATCCCTGAGAGGTAGGCATATTGATTTTTCCTATTAATGGCAATTAATGCCCTTTTTTAATTAAAAAAAGTTGAGCTATAAGTTCACATATCCACATATCATAAAATTCACTCCTTAAAGGATATAATTCAGTGACTTGGGGTATATTCCCAAAATTGCACAACTCCCTACTTTCTAATTCCATAACATTTTCATCAACTCAAAACGCAACTCATAAACAGTCACTCATTCTTCTGTCCTTCCAGCCCTTGGCAACCAGTAATCATCTTTCTGGCTGTGGATCTATCTGGACATGTGGCCCTCTGTGTCTGGATTCTGTCACTTTGAATAATGTTTTCAAGGTCCATTTATTAGTACATTGTTCCTTTTTAGTGCTGAATAATATTCCCTTGAACAGATACACCACATATTGTGTATCCATTCACCAGTTAATAGACATTTGGTTTGTGTTTGTTTTTGCCTATTATGAATAATGCTACTGTTAACATTCGTGAACAGATTTTTACACAGGCTTGTGTTTTCATTTTCTAGGATATATAAGGGTGTCATTGCTAGGGTCATATGGTAGTGTCTGTACCATTTCCGTTTGGACCAGCAAGGTAGCTAATTTTTTTTTTTTTAAGGTAGCTAATTTTTCTGTTTTGCTAGCACTTGTTTTTGTTCATCTTTTTCATTATAGGCGTCCTATGAGTATTAAGTGGTATCCCATGTTTTCACTTTCCTAATGAACAACTTTTCCCATGCTCATTGGCTATTTATAGATCTTCTTTAGAGAAATATCCATTCATATTCCTTGCCCATATTCTAACTGGGTTGTTTTTTTATTCTTTAGTTGAAAGTTCTTTATTCTAGAATCAAGTCCTTTATCAGATACATGATTTACAAATAATTTTCTCCTATACTGTGAATTGTCTTTTCGCTTTCTTGATGATCTCATTTGCAACACAAAAGTTTTTCATGTTGATGATGTCTAATTCATTTACATCTTTTGGTTCTTAGGCTTTTCGTGTCATACCTAAGACACCATTGCCTAACCCTGGGTAATGAAGATTTATACCTGTTTCTTCTGAGAGTTTAATAGTTTTAGCTCTTCTGTTAGTAATTACATTTTTTATTTTGAGGTAGTATGAGATAGAGGTCTAACTTCACTCTTTTGCAAGAGGATGTCCAGTTATCCCTGAACCATTTGTTGAAAAAACCCTTCTTTTCCCCATTGAGCAGTGGATAATGTTAACATCCTTGTCAGAAATGAATGACCATAAATTTTCAGGTTTATTCTGCATTCTATTCTGTTAACCTGTATGGCTATCCTTAAGCCATACCACATTGTTAGGATTATTGTTGCTTTTCAGTCAGTTTTGAAATCCAAACTGTGAACTTTTCAACTTTGCTCTCTTTTCCAAGATTGTTTTGGCTATTCTGAGTCCATTGTATTTCTATGTGAGTTTTTTAAAAGACTTACTTACTTATTTATTTTAGAGAGTGTGTGCATAGGTGGGTGGGGCAGAGAGAGAGAGGAAGAATGAATCTCAAGCAGACTCACACCAAGCACAGAACCTGATACGGGGCTTAATCCCATGACCCATGAGATCATGACCTGAGCCGAAACCAAGAGTCAGATACTCAACCATCAGCCATTCAGGTGCCCCTCCATATGGATTTTAAAACCAGCTTGTCCATTCTCTCCAAAAAGAAAATAAAAAGTCTGCAGGGATTTTTGAAAGGTATTGATTGAATCTATAGATTAGTCTATAAATTGTAGTATTTCTGTCTTAACATCAAGTCAGAGCACCTGGTTGGCTCAGTTGGTGGAGCATGTAACTCTTGATCTTGAGTTTGAGCCCTACTTTGGGTGTAGAGATTACTTAAAATAATCCTTTTTTTTTTTTTTAATTAGGTCTTCCAGTCCATGAACAGGGAACGTCTTTCTGTCATTCAGATACTCTTTCTCAGGCTTTTATAGTTTTCAATATGTAAATCTTGAATGCTTTTGTTAAATTTATTCTCTAATATTTTATTCCATTTGATGTTATTGAAAATGGGATTTATATTTAGTGCTATTGACTTTAAAAACGATTACCTGATTTGTCTTCTCCCTTTCTTAGAAACGTGCTGGCAAGTGCATCAGCTGATAACACTGTAATTTTGTGGGATATGTCCTTGGGGAAACCTGCAGCTAGCCTTGCCGTACACACAGACAAGGTATGGTGATTGAGTGGATAAAAGGGATTCTAAAAAACATGGGACAAATGTTGGCTATCAATAATTCCAAACATTTATATATGGCTTTTTATGAATTACAAAGTGCTTTGACATGCTGTCTTATTGCATCCTCACAGATCCCTGTATGATAGTTAGAACTACCCATCTTAGAAAGCAAATGTGGAGACAGAAAAATGAAGTGACTAAAAACATGAGTACTTTGTAGCATGTTTACAGAGACTCTATAAAGAGACAGAGAGGTACCAGGCACCAGATGAAGTTAAAGAATGTAACAGACCTGTTACTGCCAAACTCAGGGACCCAGTGAGCTGGTGTACACGGTGGGACTTCCAGAGAGTGTTGAGTTGCCCAGATAAGTTTGACTGCTTCCTTTTTTGTTCTCAATATATTTAACATTTGAGGGACGTAAATATTCTGCCAAACATGACTTGAGAAATCCTGCATTATAAGGGTCCCCTTTGAAAGTGTTTTGTCCTTTTATGTAGTACATTTGTTTCTTTAAATAGTGCTAAGTTTCAAAGGGAAAAATATATACAAACACCACCAAATTGGTTCTCTTACTAAGCAATTTTATCAAAACCAAACAAACATAGTTCTGTTCATTTATGTCTTTTCTGGTTAGGTCCAGACTCTGCAGTTTCATCCATTTGAAGCACAGACTCTGATTTCTGGATCCTATGATAAGTAAGAAAACACTGCAAGAATTATTGCTGCTGTTTTTATCCTGTGATTCAGAAAGTATCACGATGCTCAGATACAATATATTACTGTTTAAATTTCTAGTAATACTTTTCCCTTTCAACTTTGGTCCTTTCAGTCTGCAAGAGAATGTGGTTCTGTCATAATAATGTAGTTCCTAACTAGCAATTACTTTGATTCCTAGAGGGCATATGAGTTAGCCATTGCTTTGAAATAGGTATCTCAAAATTCAGGGACATTTCTTTTTTTTTTTTTTTTTAATTTTTATTTATTTATGATAGTCACAGAGAGAGAGAGAGAGAGGCAGAGACACAGGCAGAGGGAGAAGCAGGCTCCATGCACCGGGAGCCCAATGTGGGATTCGATCCCGGGTCTCCAGGATCACGCCCTGGGCCAAAGGCAGGTGCCAGACCGCTGCGCCCCCCAGGGATCCCTTCAGGGACATTTCTTATGCCACTGCAAGACTGAGCTGATTTAAGCTAGATTCAACTGGTAGGTCTGCTTATCTTGGCTTGTTTTGGTGGGGCTTTGTGGAGATTTGGCTTTCTTGTGTTTCACATCCTCATGGGACCAGTGGGCTAGCCCACCCATGTTCTCATGATGAGGTCAGAAGCTTAAGCGGAGATACCAAGGCCTCTTGAGACCTAGGCTCAGAACTAGTACACTCTGTCTTACTTTCTTGGCTGAAACAGGTAATACGGAGTGGGAAACAAACTGCCTTTATGGAAGAATTCCTACATTACTGATGATGGGGTGTGGATATAGGGAGAGGTGAAGAATAGACCCCTGACAGTCCATCACAGGGGTTTTCCAGTCACTTGTGTGCATGTTTTTACAGATTGGGTCTGAAGGTGGGAGAGAGTAGAAGCAGAAACCAACTTGCAGACTTTATTTTGATTCCTTATTCTTTTGAAGAGTGATAGGTTTATATTTTTAGTTGGGATTCATTCAGATTATAAACGTCTATCCATTGGCTCCCCCAACACAGTAAGCTGCTTGTAGAGAGTAAATTTGACTAAGACATGGATTATCTGGCTTTGAGCACTGCTAGGAACAGGGAAATTTGAAGTTGTCCTGGTCTTTTGGAAATAAGATTCATTGTGTAAGTGGAGGGCTCAGCCTGGATACAGTCAAGCCTGCTACTAAATCAAGAGGCCACCAGTGCCATCAGGTGACAGAACCGGAGTCCACCAGTTAGTGAAAATCAACTCCTCTTTTCTACTTTATTTTAGAACCTTAAAACAAGCTTTAAATAATTGGATCTTGAGTTCACAGTGTTGTTTTATTACCATTTCATTATAAGCAAACATAAAACGTATAAAATTGAACTCTTAAAACTGTAACTTTGCCTGTGTCCAGGTCAGTGGCTTTGTATGACTGCCGAAGTCCAGATGAAAGCCATCGAATGTGGCGATTCAGTGGGCAGATTGAGAGAGTGACTTGGAATCACTTTTCACCTTGTCATTTTTTGGTAAGACTGCATACTGCTGTTTTGCTTATCTAGGTTGCTAATGACTGACGTTAATTCCATTATAGAGAGAGTCTCTGAAGAGCTTTTTTCTGTTGTGGTGTTTATTTTTTTGGGTTTTGGGGTTTTTTTTGAGTAGGCTCCACACACAACATGGGCCTTGAACTCCAACAGTGAGGTCAAGAGTCACGTGCTCTGCCAACTGAGCCAGCCAGGTGCCCTGCTTTTTCTGTACTAAGTTGTGAAATAGTTAGATTTTAGGGCTTAAAAAAATTGTTTTAACAACAGTGGATCAGCCACAAATAGTCACCATGATTTTGCTAATTTCCAGCCATTTTCAGCCACATTTTAATTACTGATTTTGATTGTATTACTAATGTGTTTCTTTGAAATCTTAAGCATGGTTAATCTGTGTTTTTTAATGGTTAAGTTCATCCAAGAAGATATTCTTTTATTTAAATTAAATGGAGCTCCAGTAATGAGAATGCTAGCCTATTTGATTAATATAGCAGTCTCGGGGCAGCCCGGTGGCTCAGCGGTTTAGTGCCGCCTTCAGTCTAGAGTACGATCCTGGAGACTGGGGATCAAGTCCTGCGTCAGGCTCCTTGCATGGAGCCTGTTTCTCCCTCTGCCTGTGTCTCTGCCTCTTTCTCTCTCTGTGTCTTTCATGAGTAAATAAATAAAATCTTTAAAAAAAAAAAAAAAAAAAGCAGTCTCCCAAATAGGAAAAAAGTGTAAGTTCTTTCTAGAACTATCCTTAATATATGTAGGATAACAGTTTTCTATATAGCATTCAAAGATTCCACAGACATTTCAATCCATGGAGAAATAAAATCCCAACTTTCATTCAGAAGATTAAAGAAATTATGATACATCCATGAACTTCCTAATTTTCCTAAAGTAAAATATATAGTGCTTTATGAATGAAGGCAAAACAGCTTTCTTAAGATATGTGGACAGGTTGTTTTTTTTAAAATATTTATTTATTCATGAGAGACAGAGAGAGAGAGAGAGGCAGAGACACAGGCAGAGGGAGAAGCAGGCTCCATGCAGGGAGGCCGACGTGGGACTCGATCCTGGGACCCCAGGATCACCCCTTGGGCTGAAAGTGGGCTAAACCGCTGAGCCATGGGGGCTGCCCTGTGGACAGTTTTAATAAGGTTCCTGAAGCAATGATTCTGAACACAATCTCATCTCTGTGTTCAGGGGTGCTGCGCTGTTGGCCTGAAGCCAAGTTCCATTTTATGATGATCAGGAGTGAAGTCCCAGCTGTATTTGAATGTTGTGTCGTATGTTGGCTCTCAACACTCAAACACACCCATTTCCTGCGGCTCTTTGCTAAAAAGTTTTCATTGGTACTAAATCACAAATATTTAGGAAAATGAGAAGTTACAATAAAATGGCTTACCCCTTCCCTCCAGGCTCCCCAGGATGAGACCTTGTCTTCTTTTGTTTGTGTTCCCTCACACAGCCCACCTGCCAAGATTGTATCACTTGTCCTTTTCTCCTTCCCTGTTTCCAGTAATGGCTATTGCCCCCAATCTGCATACAGGCTCGAGTGTCTCATCCTTGACTAGGTCTGTCTCAGACCCTTTCTTAGAAGTGTAACAACCCACTGTGATCTGCCTCTCTTATCTGATTAAATCTTTCTGCCAAAATGTTGACACTATCCATCACTTTCGTCAGAAGCACTGTTTCCTTGGCTTCCCTGACCTCCTTTGTTAGGCCCTCTCTTTGATTCTTCTGTGAGCTCCTGCTCAGCCTATAGTGGCTGTGCTTTCAGGCCTCCGTTCCTTTGAATCTGACTTATGCTTACACATCGCTAACCCTTGTCCACACCACAACCAGAGCTTCATCCTCACACCCACTGCACAGTAGACCTACTAGCTGAATTAATACATGCAGGAACAGATGCTGCTTATACATAAGTAAATTTTTCACAGTATTTTTTTTTAAGATTTTGTATTTATTTATTCATAAGAAACAGAGAGGGGGGGGGGCAGAGACACAGGCAGAAGGAGAAGCAGGCTCCATGCAGGGACCCTGACTCGGGACTCGATCCCGGGTCTCCAGGATCACGCCCTGGGCTGCAGGTGGTGCTAAACCTCTGTGCCACCAGGGCTGCCCTTTCACAGTATTTTTTAATAAGCTCCTCAGGTAAATAGCTGGTTTTCACTATAATTTATACTGCTTACCCATTGCTAAATGTTATTGCCATGTAGCATGATCTTGCCCCTTTTTACTCTTTCCAGGCTAGTACAGATGATGGCTTTGTATATAACTTGGATGCACGTTCAGATAAGCCAATTTTTACACTTAATGCACACAATGATGAAATCTCTGGTGAGCACAAATAACAAATAGTCTTTCATTTTATTAACTTATGATGAATTAAGTCTATATTTCAGAGTCACAACTAATCTTACCTTCTTTTAGGTCTTGATCTAAGTAGTCAAATCAAGGGTTGTCTTGTGACAGCATCAGCTGACAAATATGTGAAGATCTGGGACATATTAGGAGACAGGCCAAGTCTGGTTCACTCTAGGGACATGAAAATGGTAAGAATCTCTGGGCACCTTTCTTTTCTGCTTTTTTCTGTTTCTGACCTATATTGACATCTTTCCCTAGGAATATTTGTTGAAGTTCATCTTGAGCTTAGTCAAATTTGATGGGAGGTTTATGACTTAGGACAGTTTTAGAGGAAAATCAGTGACTGTCTGATTCCTTTCCCAACTGACATGATTAACATTAACAGTTGTTTGGTAAGAAGGGTGGGCAAGAGGATTTTCTAGGACTCAAGCAGAATAATGATGGTTTTCTTTTTTAAACGTGAATTCATTTAGCAAATATTTATTGAGCACCTACTATATGCCAGGCACTGAGATAATATAATTGCAGATGTAGAACACTGCACATCTGTTTGTATGTACAAATATTTGTGGGGAAAGTAAGTTACAGACAGTTATATAGTACTATCCCATACTTATATTTAAATGCTTAAATGTTTATATTTAAATCTAGAATATCTTATCCTGAAACATAAATGGTGATTATCTTAGTGATTTTGATACTTTTTCGTGTACCTAGTAATAAGCATTAAAAAATTTAGAAATTTAAAAAATCATTTTAAAAATTACTTAATGGTGACCTGTAGTAACATCATTGCTTAAAAGGGAAAATAAAAGTTTCTGGGAATACTGAGCAGATTAGAGACGTGAGTAGTCAGAGTACGCACATCCTTGCAGAACGGCCATCATGCTGAACTTGTGGCTTCGTCTTGCCACTTGGACTCTGAACTACTTTACAAGCTTATTAAAAAGAAATACTGATGAGCTGATTCTGAGTGAGCTGATTCAGATAAGTTCGTGTATAGGAGCAAGAATTTCTGGAAGGACTGAAATCACTGACCTTCTGTTTTTTCTTCTAGGGAGTTCTGTTCTGTTCTTCCTGTTGCCCCGATTTGCCATTTATTTACGCCTTTGGAGGTCAGAAAGAAGGGCTTCGGGTCTGGGATATAAGCACAGTCTCATCAGGTAAGAATCTTAATTTCCTTTTTCTTTTTTATAAATTTATTTATTTATTTATTTATGATAGTCACAGAGGGAGAGAGAGAGAGAGAGAGGCAGAGACACAGAGGGAGAAGCAGGCTCCATGCACCGGGAGCCCGACGTGGGATTCAATCCCGGGTCTCCAGGATCGTGCCCTGGGCCAAAGGCAGGCACCAAACCGCTGCGCCACCCAGGGATCCCTTAATTTCCTTTTTCTAAACAAGAAAAATGTGTGGCTTGAATAAGTTAGATCTATTGTTCATACTGTAATGTCCTCTGCTTGGGAAATAGGATCACATGTAATATGGAGTTGCTCATGTTAACAAATTTGTCTTCACAGTTTAAATGTACACCCTTTAAAAAATATTTATGACAAAATTTGAATTTATGGGAAAGCTGGAGGGAAATATTATGTGGTCTCAAAGAACAGCCCTCCCCTTCCCAGTGTAAATAATCTGCCTTTTCTCAATATTCTTAGAAAATCCAACTTTCTGAGGGACCACTCCCCTCCCTTCAGAAGAACCTGCCTGTTTATTACCTCGGGGTAGAGGACATAGCTCCACTGATTCTTGAATCTTCCATGTAGAAAAAAGGTTCTAAATCCAAAAAAAGGTCTCTGCTGGTTAGGAGACAGAGAAAAATGAAAGAAAAATTAGTCACTTTATCAAGATAAATCAAGGACAAGGCAAAGAAAATTACATGGTAGAGCAACTTAAATTGTGATTAACCTCATTCAGAATGTTAACTTGGACTTCTTAGTTGGTTATTTCATTTCCCTTTTATAAAGTGTTAAGTATATTTTCATAAAATGTCCACAGTAGGACAGAAAACAATACTGTTCATTCCTATACCTCTGTGTTTTATATTATAGGTTCTTAATTTCCTGGTGTTAATTTCTTATTTATTTGTGTTTTAGTAAATGAAGCATTTGGAAGACGAGAGAGGCTTGTTCTTGGCAATACAAGAAGTTCATCTATTAGTGGCCCTTTTGGGAGCAGGAGCTCAGACACACCAATGGAGTCTTAACGAGGAGTATAAAATTTCCTGTTTATTACCTTAACTCAGTTTTAAAAAACTGATCTAAAAACATCCATGTGTAGTTGGAGCCATGTAATGACAGAAACTAAATTCATTTCCTACTGCCAGACATTCCTCTGCAGCTATGGTGGCAACACAAATAGGGCTGGTCTTTGTGCTTGCCTTTTAAATGTTTGGTGTTTAGGGGTCCTACTGCATTTCTTGAAGAGGATAATAAAGAAGATTTTAAAAAAATAATTCCTTAAATATGCCATGTGTCATAGGTAACCTAGAGGTTTGCAAAACAGGTAATAATTTATGGAATTTTAGGAGAAGAAAATCTCTGATCTTAAAGATGGGAAAACTCAAGCCTAGAATGGCTGTGATTTGGCCAATATTGCACAGTAACCATAAACGGGCAGGTGCCCCAGGAATTGCTCTTTCCTGACTTGACTGTTTTCCAATCCGTGTTCATGATTTTAGAATTGTTCTCAGTGCTACTTGTAAAGTTCAGTAACTAAATGCCTCTTTCCCCCCAGCATGGTATATTCATTGTAATCAAAGACAAAAAGAGGCATTACATTATTATGATAAAGGTGTCAGTTTCGTAAATATTATAGGAAAACCTAAGTATGTACCTAAATATATAAAGCAAATGTTAATAGACCTAAAGGAAGAAACAGCAATATAATAATAGTAGGGGACTTTACTATCCCACTTTCACCAGTGAATAGACCAGACAGAAAATCAATATGGAAACACTGGCCTTAATGGAAACTATACAGAAATTCCCTCTGAAAGCAACAGAATATGCATCTTCTCAAGCACACATGGAAAATTCTCCAGGATAGATCACATGTACCACAAAAAAAAAAAAAAAATTAATTTCAGAAAATTGAAATATCAGGTGTCTTTTTTGATCATAGTGATATGAAACTAGAAAATTACATGATGCAAACTGGAAAATTTGCAAATATATGGAGATTAAATAACATGCTACTGGACAGCCAGTGGGTCAAAGAAGAAATCAAAAGAGAAAATATATATTGAGACAAGTGGAAATACAACATACCAAAACTGAAAGGATATAGCAAGAGCAGTCCTAAGAGAAGTTCACTGCATTAAATGTCTGTATCAAGAAGTGAGAGCTGTCAACCTAATTTTACACCTCAAAGAACTACAAAGAAAGGAACAAAACCCAAGTTGTTGGAAGGAAATAAAGATCAGAGTAGGAATATGTGAAATAGAAACTAAAAAGAATCAAAGATCAATGAATCCAAGAGCTGGTTTTTTGAAAAGAAAACTGACAAACCTTTAGACTAAGGAAAAAAGATGCAAAATCAAACACAAATTGTCACGATTGATACACCACCAAAATATAGAGGATCATAAGAGACTACTATGAACAGAGTACAACAAACCTGACAACTAGAGGAAATGGAAAATTCCTAAAAATATACCAAGTCTCAATCACGAAATAAAAAATCTGAAGGGACCAATTACTAGTAAGGAGATTGAATCAAGTCATCAAAAACCTCCCAACAACAACAAAAAATAAAAATAAATAAAAATAATAAACCTCCCAACAAAAGTCAAGGACCAGATAGCTTCTTTGGTGAATTCTACCAAACATTTGAATAATACCTAACTAGTCCTCAAGTTCTTCAAAAAATGGAAGAGGAGAGAATACTTCAAACTTGTTTTATAAAGCCAGCATTACCCTGGTATTAAACTAGAAATGGACGCCACAAGAAAATTCTAGGCCAGTATCCTGATGGAACATAGGTGTAAAAAGCCTCTACAAAATATTAACCATATTCAGCATTAAAAGGATCATACATTGTAACCAACTGAGAGATTTATGCCAGGGATACAAGGATGGCTCATTACCTGATATATGATACATCTCATTAACAAAATAAGGATAAAAATCATAAGGTCACCTTAACAGATGCAGAAAAAACATCTGACAAAATTGAACATCCATTATAAAAACAAGGATTAGCAGGAATGTACCTCAACATAATAAAGGCTATATGTCACAAGTGTACAGCCAACATAATGAAAAACTGAAAGCTTTTCCTCAACATCAGAAACAAGAATGCCCATTCTCCCCACTTTTAACCAACATAGAATTGAAAGCCCTAACCAGAGTGATTCGGATTTGGGGAAAGAAAAAGCATCTAAGTCAGACTCCACCAAAATACTTAAAACTAATAAAATTCAATAAGGCTCCAGTGTACAAAAATCAATATGCAGAAATATGTTGTATTTCTGTACATTAACAATGAACTATCAGAGAAATTTCTTAATCCCACTTACATCTGCACAGAAAAGAACAAAAGAATTTAACCGAAGGGAGAAGACCTGTACACTGAAGAACTTAAGACACTGATGAAAGAAATCGAAGACATAGGGGCACCTGGGTGGCTCAGCAGTTGAGCATCTGCCTTTGGCTTGGGGCATGATCCTGGAGTTCCAGGATCGAGTCCCACATTGGGCTTCCTGCATGGAGACTGCTTCTCCCTCTGCCTCTCTCAGTCTCTCATTAATAAATAAATAAAATATTTTAAAAAAAGAAATTGAAGACATAAATAGGTTAAAAGACCTTACATGCTCTTGGAATGGAAGAATATTGCTAGGATGCCCACACTGCCCAAAGCAATCTACAGATTTAGTGCAATCCCTATCTAAATTCCAATGGCATTTTCACAGAAATAACCCTAAAACCACAAAGGCCCCAAATAGGCAAATCAATTTTTTTTTTTTTAAGATTTGATTTTCAAACAATCTCTGCATGCCACATGGGACTCAAACCCATAACCCAAAGTTCAAGAGTTGCATGCTCCACCAAGCCAGCCAGGCTCTGCTAGCCAAAGCAGTTTTGAGAAAGAACAACAGAGATGGAGGCATCATGCTTTCTGATTTCAAACTATGTTGCAAAGCTATAGTAATCAAAATAATATGGTACTGGCATATTAAAAGACGCAGATAAATGAAAAAGAATAGCTGAGAAACCCATGCATACATGGGCAACCTACAACAGAACCAAGAATATACAATGGATAAAGGACAGTCTCGGGATCCCTGGGTGGCGCAGTGGTTTAGCGCCTGCCTTTGGCCCAGGGCGCGATCCTGGAGGACCCGGGATCGAATCCCACGTCAGGCTCCCTACATGGAGCCTGCTTCTCCCTCTCCCTCTGCCTATGTCTCTGCCTCTCCCTCTATCATGAATAAATAAATAAAATCTTTTTTTAAAAAAAAGATAAAGGACAGTCTCCAATAAATGGTGTTGGTTAAACTGGATAGCTACATGGAAAAGAATGAAACTGGACCACTGTCTTCCACCATATATAAAAACCAGTTCAAAATGGATTAAGGCCTGACCATAAGACCTAAAGCCATAAAACTCCTAGAACATAAGTGATCATCTTGACGGTTTTGGTAATGATTTTCTAGATCTGACAACAAAACCAAAGGCAAACAAAAAAGTTTGATAACATCAAAATAATTTTTTTGGCTGCACAATGAAGGCAGCCAACAAAATGAAAATGCAACTTTACAGAATGGGAGACAGTATTTGCAAATCATGTGATAATAGGGTTAATATTCAAAATATATAAAGGATTACAACTCAGTAGCAAAAAAAAAAAAACATTAAAAAATGAGCGAATACTTGAATAGACATACTTAAAAGACATACAGATGGCCAGAAGTATGAAAAGGCGCGGTTATGCACCTAATGTCACTAATATCAGGGAAATATGTGTCAAAACCACAGTGACTCAAGATCGCATACTCCTTAGAATGGCTATTATCAAAAGACAAGAAATAAGTTGAGAAAGGGAACCATTGTGAACTACTGGTGAGAAACTAGACTGGTGCAGCCACTGTGGAAAACAGGATAGAGGGTCTTCAAAAAATTAAAACTACCATATGACCTAGAAATTTTTCTTCTGGGTATTTATCCAAAGGAAACAAAAACACAAAAAGGTATCTCCACTGCCATATTCATTGCAGCTTTATAACAGCCAAGACGGAAACAACCTAAATGTTCATCAATGTATGGAAAAGAAAGTGTGTGTGTGTATACACACAATTATGTGCAGTGGAATATTCAGCCATAAAAAAAGAAAATCTTGCTGTATGTAACAAAGTGGATGAACCTGGAGGGAATAAATTATGCTGAGTGAAATAAGTCAGAAAGACATTACCATATGATCTCACTTATATGTGCAGTCTTTTTTTTTAACCTGAGCTCATAGATACAGAGAACAGATGGCTAGCAGCTGGGTAAAATGAGTGAAGTTGGTCACAAGGTACAGATTTCCACTTATAAGTCATGAGGTCGTAATGTGCAGCATGGAAACTATAATAATATTGTGTATTTGAAAGTTGCTAAGAGTAAATTGTAAAGGTTCTTACCACAAAATAATTTGTAAGTATATATGGATGGATATTAACTAGAGTTGTGAGCATTTCACAATATATACAGAAACCTGATCTTAATGTCATATAACTGAAACCAATATAATGTTATATGTCAATTATATCTCAATAAAAAAAAGAATATGAAACACAAAGATTGCCCCTGAGGCAAAAGACAATGTCATATCTTTATTGCTTCTGTCTTGGCCAAAGTGTAAAGTAATACACATTCCTAAATGTTTTACTGCTCCCAACACTAACTTCTCTCCCTCAAATTGATGTAAATATAACAAAAAAGAAATGATACATGATGATTATAAAAGCAAATTAAACACCCATAAATTTGATTTCATGGAACTCTGCAATAGATTAATTGGGAAATACTCTCTGAAACAAAGCCTGTAAGGAAATCAGGGATGCAGAACTGGGCAGAGGGAAATGCTGGACCGTTCGGACGGCTGCAACAGGTGTCCCTTTCAAAGCTCTAGCTCTAATGCTGACCCGACCTCCACACAAATCTGGAATCGATGCACTGTGGTTGAGACGTGCCCCCGCCTCAACCAGTCATTTGTTTCCGGCCGTCTGCCGGGGATAAGCAGTCTCCCCTGGCAAGGCAGCTGGCATAAGCTGAGAGCCATTTCCAGAGAAAATTTTAGCTGTGAGCAGTCAGTAGCGAGCACCTTGGGAAACAGCTGCTTATTCACGAAAGGGATTGATTGTAGGTGGTACATCCCAGCATCCACTGCAAAGTTCAATATGTAACTCCACAAATGTTGAACTAAGAAATACAGGTCATAGCCCAGAAGCACTGAGGAATGAGGTCATGGAGG